TTGCAGGATGTGAGCCAGCACTGCTGGCCGTCATGGCCTATGACCGCTATGCTGCCATCTGCCAACCTTTGCACTATGCTCACCTGATGAGGGGCAAGTTGTGCATCCAGCTGTCTGTGGCCATTTGGCTCTGGGGCTTCCTGGACTCAGCTATCTACATTGCTCTGGCTTCCAGGTTGGAATTTTGTGGAAATTACCAGATTCCTCACATCTTTTGTGATGGTCCCCCATTACTGAAAATTGCCTGCAGTGATACTTCCGTCAATGAGTTGGTCACTCACATCACTGGCACCTTGGTGGGACTTGTCCCTCTTCTGCTCATCATCCTGTCCTATTTCTACATTTTGTCCTCCATTCTGCAGATCCGCTCCAAGATCGGCAGGCGCAAAGCCTTCTCCACCTGCGCTTCACACCTTGCTGTAGTAACACTCTTTGTTGGAAACGCTTTTGTGAACTACAACCAGCCCAGTGCTGGCTACTCTCTAGAGGTGGACACTTTGATCTCCACCATGTTTTGCATTGTCACCCCTATGCTGAACCCCTTGATCTACAGCCTCCGCAACAAGGAGGTGAAGGGGGCCCTGAGGAAGCTTCTCAGCTGCTGGAGAATAGCATAGTTTTCATTCATTTATTGACAATAAACATTTCTTGTGCTGTCTGGGAAGAGCCCATGGGAAAAAAATTACCCTTTGCTGTTGGAATATTCTGCTATGCAGATATGAAATGCTTCTCTTCTCTGGACATTTCTTTACTTTGTCTTCTTTTCTGTTTTATCTCATCCAAAATAGTTTGCATTTTCTCTTGACTCTTCTTTTGAATTCACTATTATATTGTATAAAATAAGTTCCTGTGTTGGTGAGATGGTTAACAAACAAACTGAATGAATGAATGAATGAATGAATAAATGAATGAATGAATGGCAGATTTACTTGTACCCCAAACTATTCTGAAATCAGTACCTTTATGTACATTTTTTTTTTAAAAAAAAACACTTTTGATTTCCTTTTTCTTTCTTATTCTGTATTATTTCTTATTCTGTAGCAGTGCTCTATCCCTACCTGCCTGAAGACATCTATTATAGTGCCAGTCCCTAAGCAGACAGTAGTGGTATCCCTTAATGATTATAGACCAGTAGCTTTAACATCTGTTGTCATGAAATGTTTTGAGACGCTGGTGTTGAACTATATTAAGGCTAGTCTCCCATCTACTTTGGACCCATACCAATTTGCATATAGGGGTAATAGATCAACTGACGATGCTATGTCTCTTGTTGTCCATACTACATTGAATCACTTGGAACTACAGGGGGCATATGCAAGGCTGTTATTTGTGGATTATAGCTCTGCCTTTAACACCATTTTACCCAACAGGTTGTTTTTTAAAATGTCCAATTAGGGTTTAAATCAGAGGATTTGTTTGTGGATAAGGGATTTTCTGACAGGTAGGCCACAGTCAGTAAGGATGGGATCTCAGCATTCCTCTACTCTGATACTAAGCACAGGAGCCCACCCCAGGGTTGTGTGCTAAGCTCTTTCCTTTATTCCTTGTACACACATGCCTGCACCCCATTGTATAACACCAACACAATTATTAAATTTGTGCATGACACAACAGTGGTGGGGCTCATTAATAAGAACAATGAGTCTGCTTACAGGAAGGAAGTACAAGGGCTGACATTGTGGTGTAATGAAAATAATCTCACACTTAACACCACAAAAACTAAAGAATTTATAATTGACTTCAGGAGGAAGAGAGATGTACATCTACCACTGTACATAAATGGTGAGGAGGTGGAGAGGGTGGATAGTTTTAAACTTCTGGGCATTTATACCTCGAAGGACCTCTCATGGACTATGAATGCTAACATGCTTGTGAAGAAGGCACAGAAGAGGCTGTACTTCCTGAGAATGCTCAGGAAGATAAATCTATCTCAGCATCTACTTCTGTCCTACTATCGCAGCACCATTGAGAGTGTCCTGACATACGGCATTCTTGCATGGTACGGGAGCAGCTCTGTAGCGGACAAAAAAGCTCTACAGAGAACCATTAAAACTGCCCAGAATATCATCGGACTCCATCTACCAGCCCTGGATGACATCTTCACATCTCGCTGTTTGAGGAAGTTGCATAACATTCTCCTAGACTCTTCCCATCCTGCTTACAATCTTTTTGGATTGCTGCCTTCTGGCAGAAGATACAGGACAATTAAAACTCGGACCACACGTCTTCTGAATAGTTTTTATCCCAGAGCTATAATTGCACTCAACCATGAACTAAAGGGCCACCATCAGTGAGCTCTTGGACAGCATGACTTGGTCTGTTGTGTGGATGTTTGGGTGGTTTAGGGGTGGGGAATTGTGGAGGATGGGAGTGTGTTTGGGGATTGTTATGTCCAACCATTGTTGGACCTGGTCTTTGGGTGTTAAGTGAATTTCGTTGTATGGGTATACTGTGTATACACGTACAATGACAAAGTTATTAAAAAAAATCCATATAGCCCCCCTCTATGGCACAAGGGTGGGGAATCATGGCCCTTTTATGACCTGTGGACACTATCATCAGCATCCAAGTCAGCATAAACAAGGAGTATAAACAAGGACCTTCTTGGGCTCCCCCCTTCCAGTAGAAACTTGCTCCGTAAGGGGGTAGAGTCCCTCATAGGGTGCGGGAGCTGAAGGCACAAGTCACAGTCTTTCAACCTTTGTTTATTCCTTCACAGACTCCAGAACAGTGCATAACAGTGCTGCCCTTTGGGCATAGCCTCCCCTTTTCTCAAAGACTTCTAAGTCTATTGATCTCCCCCCCCCTCCCCACTCAGGGGCCAAACATCAGGCACATCTGATGCCAAATAGCATTATATTTAAGCAAAGTTTCAGTTTTCATATCCTGGTACAGAAGCACCTTGAGATGGAGGTACTCATCTTTCATTTTGTTAGAACTTCCTGGTAGCCCTGAGTAGGGGGGTCCTAGCCCAACAGGGTCCAAGCCACCCTTGTTTGCAACCAAAAGGAAGGGCTGTTTCCTCAACTCAGCAATGTGCAGTCTCAAAGGCAAGTTAATTGCTGACCTGTGCATAGAATATCCTGGTGCTGCTTGAGGGTTATGGTGGATTTTTCCATCTTATGACACACAAGGTCTGTTGAACTGTCTCAACTCAGCCAAGAAGCAATGGATTGAACTGATCTAGGAGAGATCCAACCTAGAACTAAAGAGAAATATCCTGAGAGTGACAACAATTAACCCGTGGAACAACTCGCCCAATGGGGGGTTTCAAATTATTTTACTACCGGTTCTGTGGGCGTGGCTTGGTGGGCGTGGCATAGCTTGGTGGGCATGGCTTGGTGGGCGTGGCAGGGGAAAGTTACTGCAAAATCCCCGTTTCCTCCCAATCAGCTGGGACTCGGGAGGCAGAGAATAGATGGGGGCGGGGCCAGTCAGAATTTTTACTACCGGTTCTCCGAACTACTCAAAATTTCCGGTACCAGTTCTCCAGAACTGGTTAGAACCTGCTGAAACCCACTTCTGAACTTGCCTCCAGAAGCTGTGGGTGGGTGCTCCAACACTGGAGGTTTTTAAGAAGAGACTGGACAGCCATTTGACTGCAATATTATAGGGTCTCCTGCTTGAGCAAGGGATTGGACTAGAAGACCTCTAAGGTCCCAACTCTGTTCTTCTATTATTTAATGACCTGTGCAAAGGATATTCTGATGCTGCTTGAAGTTACAGTGCATTTTTGCATCTTATGACCTGCAAGGAATCCAGGTATGCCAATTTCCAAAGGTTCTCTTAAAAAGCTAGCTGAATCCCTCCTGCCTCCCAGGATAGAGCTTGGGGATTGTGTGTCTTTTACAATACAGGCAACAAAGCCATGGGGGGGTGGTATAAAAAAGGGGCTCAATTCTGCCCCTTTTTGCAAGGCAGATTTTGCAAAGCTGGCAGCCTTCAGCCTCCAGTTGCAATAGCAGGAGCAAATTTGGGAGCCTTGCATTGGGATAAAACCAGGAAACATTTATGTAGATTCAAGAGGTGTCTGGGGAAGATAAAAGATTAGGGTCAGAATGGACAAACAAGGTGTTCCTGACAAGCAATGGGGCAGATATTAAGCAAGTGTGGATCTCATCCAAACCACAAAAACGTTGGCAATTGTCAACGTTCAAGCACGTTCAGGAAATGAATTAGCGATGAAGCAGCTCAGCAGACTCAAAAGAAATGATTGCATTTGCTATTCTGCATGAAACGTGTAGATGCAATCTGGCTGCAGGAAGATGCAGCATAAGAGGAAAAAGACAAGCCAGAAGCTGTAAATGATAAAATTTGGAGTTCAAAAGGGAAAGTAATTATTGCAAGGATGCCAGTAAAGCAAAATTAGGCAGGTGAAAGAATTGAAACAGAGATAACTGGCCACTGTGCAGTTTGGGAACAGGGACAGTTAGAGAGAACCCAAGTCAGTTACAATTTATTATCATCACCAATGTTTGCAAAGCAGCAAGTAAACCCTGCTGTCCTCTCCTCCTCCTCCTTAATCAGCTTTGCTAAACACATGAATTAAATAGCTTTGCATGGGAATGCCTGGGTGAGATAGTTGGGCTAAGCAGAGGAGTAGCCTCATGAAAACATGAGGCCAGAGGCATGGCTTGCTTTGTGTAACTCCCACTGTGCTCTAGGCACAATGAACGCGGGTGGGAGCAAAACCACAGACTCACAAATATTGCTCAAATATTACTAAACAAAGCATGTAGGACATGCCAACCGGCTGAAATGACAGCTACGTTATGAAAGCTTCGGAGCAACCTATGTACACGTGTCTCTGTGTGTGTTTCTAACTGCTGTGGGGGTTTAAGCCAGTAATGGGGAAAGGGGGCCACACATGATACCCTGATGTTCACGTTGGTGGGTTTTGCGGTTTGGGGATATAAAAGACCTGGCTGAAGGGAACCTCCCCATGTCCTCCTTCTGCGCAGAGCAAGATCATCCTGCTTCAATCTCCACCTCAGGTTGTTTAGTTGGGCTTCAACACCTCAGACAAAGACCCAGAGTTGACAGGTGAGTGCTGCTTTCCCATCTGGGGGAACATGGCAGGTGAGGTCCTTGCATCAGATCACTCCTGGGAGTCTCTCTCCATCTGAAGGGACCTCTTTAAAGTTGCTGCAGATTCCAGAAGGGGCTCTGTGGGATGGTCCCTCAGACAGGGAGCAAGGGATCAATTGGGTGATCTTTGGGAGAGAGAGAGAGAGAGACCCACAGAAGAGTCTTTCTAAGGGAGCTTCCTGCTGATTACATAGCAATGCAGAATCCAGTGTGACCCACCAAGGGTGTTTCATGACCACGGTGAGAGAAAGGGGGTCCAGCTGGGCTAGTGCAAAACTGTAGACAAACTGTTGAACTCTCAGCTTGATCCTGGGTTGGATGGTCTCCCTTCCTGAGTGAGCTTTTTAAGGAGCTTAGCTCCCCCTCCTTCGCAATGGTGAGAGTGCAGTAGTGCAGGATACTTCTGCTGACTGCTGATTGACAGCAATTTGGCAGATTGAATCTCACCAGCTCAAGGTTGACTCAGCCTTCCATCCTTCCAAGGTTGGTAAAATGAGGAGCCAGTTTGTTTTGGGGCAATATGCTGACTCCATAAAACTGCTTAGAGAGTGCTATAAAACACTGTGAAGCGGTATATAAGGCTAAGTGCTATTGCTATTTTTTCTCTCTGCAGGAAAGGGAGGAAAACCATGGGGCAAATTTCCTTTGTGAGTTTCGGTTTGCTGATTGTGGCCATCTCTCTGAGTGGTGAGTCCAAGCAAGGTCTCTCATGTTTGTAGAGGCTAAAGTTCTTGCATTTGAATCCTTTTAGTACAATTAAAATTCACAATCATGAACACAATTAACAGTGAAAAGCTTGGCAAAATATACATGCATTTATCGTTACAAGTTTAGTGCTTCCCACTCCTTGCATTGGAGTGGTCCCATCAATGATCTCTCCTGAAACCTCTTGAGCAGTTACAGGTCCTCCAGAACGGAACCACGTGATTCCCATATTTTGCCCCAGTCAACAGCCTGGTTCTTGAAGGAATCCAATTTCAGGCTTAGCACATTTACACAATTCACTGAATGATACACCAACCAAAGCAGAAAGATTCACACAAGACTTTCAGTTTGAAGAAAATTAACCTAAACTAACCCTAAATTTCTTTGAAAGGACAGATACTGAAGCTGAAGCTCAAATACTTTGGCCATCAAATGAGAAGCGAGGGCTATTTGGAAAAGACCCTGATGCTGGGAAAGCTGGAAAGCAAAAAGAGAAGGGGACAACAGAGGAGGAGATGGTTAGATAATGCCATCAATGCAATGAACAGGAGTCTCGGGTAATGGATGATGGGAGGGATGAGATGCTATTGTCCATCAGGTTGTGAAGAGTCAGATATGACTTAGCCACTGATCATCAACAACCAAGTTTGGAAATTTGCAAATGCAGCCACTGCGTCTGTAACCCAAATCAGTTTCTGTTTATTGTCATCAAAGATGTTTACAACTCAACAGGTCAAGAATGTTCTGCAGACCCAGCTGTCTCCTCTACCTTCTCCTTTTCTCCTGGCCATCTTCTCATTGGACTTTCTCTCTTCCCCCAAAGGAGTGAAAGGCTGTTGCTGTCCCGATAATTGGCTGCCCATGAATGGGTTTTGCTACAAGCTCAACGATCAACTCAAGACCTGGAATGAAGCAGAGGTTAGAAATGTTGTGTGTCTGTGAATTTCCTCACCCAGGCATGGGAAAAGCCTGGCCAGAACCTTGCATAGCTCCCAAGTACACACTCTGGCTGGGCACAAGTGGAAGGCCACTAGGATAGGTGCATGAAAAGGTAACAAAGGTCATGATTTTAGAATAATATGAAATGCAAGTATTCTATGGATGATATACTGGTTTAGGCTTTCATGACCAGTATCTGTTGGACAATGTCGAACTTCAGGGTTGAGTGACTGTCTTGCAGACAAACGATTTCCTGATGTCTCACTGGTAACTCTGACTGGTATCTTCAGACCTCCTTTATTCTGATGAGGATCTCAGATTTTAAACAACGTATCAGGAAAAACATCCTTGATGGTCAACGGACTGAAGAGGGTGGCTAGGATGATGCAATCAGATGCCTGCTCAAACACACACACACACACACACACACACGACTCTGGAAAGACTACAGAAAAGAGCAACAAAGATGATTAGGGGACTGGCAGCTAAAGCATATAAAGAACAATTGCAGGAATTGGGTAGGTCTAGTTTAATGAAAAGAATAAGTAGTGTTCCAATATTTGAGGGGCTGCCACATAGAAGAGGGGGAGGTGGGCAGTCAAGCTATTCTCCAAAGCACCAGAAGGCAGGAAAGAAGCAATGGGTGGAAACTAAGCACGGAGAGAAGAAACTTAGAACTAAGCAGAAATTTCCTGAAAATGAGAACAATGAATCAGTGGAACTCCTTGCCTCCAGAAGTTGTGGGTGGAGAATTTGAAGAAAAGATTGGACATTTGTCCGGAATGGTCTCCTGCTCTGAGCAGGGGGTTGGACTAGAAGACCTCCAAGGTCCCTTCCAACTCTGTTATTCTGTTACGTTCCTTCTCTGCTGAATAAGTGCCTTTCTCTGTTGTTGCTCTTCCCAGATGTTCTGCAGGAAATTAAAGCCAGGCTGCCACCTCGCCTCCATCCACAACATGGCAGAGTCAGCTGACTTGGCTGAGTATGTCTCTGACTATCTCACAAAGAAGGACAGTGTCTGGATTGGGCTGAATGATGCCCAGAAGGTAGATCCTTTGTATTTGTCAAGGAATTGCGTAGCAATTGTCCAGCTGAAGTAGGAGAGGCATTCGCCAAGTTTAACCCTGCTTAGTTGTTCCAGATCAACTAAGATCGATTAGCTAGATGGAGAAAGAGAGGGAGGGGGGTTCTATATGACCTGTCCCTTGAAACCTGCCATCTTTTCTCTCTCTGCCCAGGGCCCTCTATAGCCAGAGCCTCTTCCTATGTTAACATGGCTTCCCTTTCGTTACAGAAAGGTGTCTGGGTGTGGACAGACAGATCCTCCACCAACTACCTAGCCTGGGGTGAAGGAGAGCCCAACAACCAGCAGAAGAATGAGTATTGCGTTGAGCTCATAGCCAAGACAGGTAAGCCAAGGTGGGGGATGGGGGAGGTGTTCAAGATGCACTTTCAACAATGAGGACTTATTTCATCCAAGTTGGAACCCCCACCAGTGGCCAACGGATGACCTTGGTTGATCTCCTTAGATTCTAAACTCTCACAGCCTGACCCTCCATACAGCCAAGGGAATACAAAACGCCCATGGGATAAACAAAAATGGAACTCACCATTTCTTCAAAAACCCAAACTTAATTATTACAGCACCATCATTAAACCAACCATCTTCATCTTAACCTACTCACTTAGAGCGTTTAGAGAAGAGAACAATTAATGCACTGGTTTTCTTTGCTCTCCCCCAAACATCACCATCAGCTGCTCTCCTGAAGGGGGGGGACCAGGTTGGGGAGGAGGAGGAGGAGTGGTTTGACAGATGAGTAGACCAATCACAGTGGTTATCCATCTAAATGTGCTCAGTTGAATAGTTGAAGAGTGAAGTCCAGGTTAGGGGTGGAGAACAGGAGGCCCAACAAGGCTAGATCCATTTCATTCAAGGGAACATCACCCTCCATATATCGGGACATTTTTTGAGCAAGTCCTGTGGTTGTTCAGCTAGCTAAATCTCTATTGGTCTTACATTCCACAGAAACATTTGAATAACTCTTTCCTCCTGTGCTTTCCAGTGAAGTAGAGAAGGTGCAGGTGAGGCTACCAGCCTCTGTTGCATCCATGCTACAAGAAGACTCCCATCCTGAAGGGTCAGGACAGTCCCAGCCAGCTTTGGCACATTTCAGCCAGCGTGCTAGAAGTGCAACCACAGCACGCTCATGCTCAGGAGTCACGATGGCACAGTGGTTAGAGTGCAGTATTGCAGGCTAACTCACTACTCACTGCCAGCAATTCAATTCTGACCAGTTCAAGACTGACCCAGCCTTCCATCCTTCTGAGGTCGATAAAATGAGGGCCCAACAACATGTTGGGGGCAACATGCTGACTCTGTAAACCACTTAGAGGGGGCTGCGAAGCATTATGAAGCAGTATTTAAGTCTTAAGTGCTATTGCTCTTCTGGGCAAGCTATGATGTCTAATTGAGGGACATCTTTGCAAACCAATATACTGCTGTCCATATCCATCATCCAGGGGTGCCCTTTGGATTTTGCAAAAAAAGAAAAGAAAAGAAAAAGGCAAAGTAGCAGCCTTAACTGTGAAATCAATACTCCACCTAGTTTTTACATGCCAAAGAGATGGGTCAGAAAAGCTCTTTGATGCCCTCTTGTAGTGGAGCAGAGCTTGTCAGAAAATTCTGGTTGACTTGGCCTGACTTGATGGCTAGGTAAGTCCATCTCAGCACATGAAGTTCTCCACCTCTGCTATCTTCATGCCCCCCCCCCCGGCAAATGAGGGAGGAGCCACTGAAATACTCTTCAGGGACTCTGAGGGAGTCACTACTCACTACTTTCTCTTTTTCTGCCCAGGTTTCAAGTATTGGAACGATCATCCTTGTGATGTCTTGCGTGCTTTCATCTGCGAGTGCAAATACTAGTGCCAGTTGCCCTTTCCCTGCTCCAGGGTGAGGGAAACACCCGGTGAAGCCTGGAAAAGCAACGAAGCCCTGCCAAAATCTCTCTTCTCCACCCCTTTGCTTGATTTCTGTAGCTCGGATCTGATTTTGCTCTTTCTGGTCAAATAAATTCTGTCTTTATGTGACTGACCTCAATTATTTTGCATTCCTGACAACTCAAGACTTTTTCATGGCAAGGCTTGGCATTAAAGTGGGGCAGAGGGTATTTTTTTCAGAAAGACCATCCATCGAGGCTTTGATGCTTTCTTGCATGTCTGCCTCATTTTAATTGGAAGGTTGAGAATCTGACGAGCCTCAGCACCATTATCTATCCCCCTAAAGCTGATTTAGATGGGAAGGTGGGTTGACGTTCTCCATTGAATTAATTTATTAATTCAAAATTAATTTCCCTGGAAATTAATCAGATTGATTGATTGATTGATAGCATGTAGTTTCTGAGCCTTCTGACTCCATATGAAAAATGGAAATATTTTGGCCTCTCTAAGAAGTCAAAGAAAGTTTTTTTTTCCACATGAAACTCTCACTTTTTTCTTCTGGCCAAGGGGGCTTCCTGGTAGCACTGTCCACTCTGGAGCCAAAGATGACCCTCTATGCCCACCCACTGGAGTCAGATTTGAGAGGTTCAACATGTGAGGATCACATGACTCAACACTTGGCTTCTCTCTAATTGTCCCTGATCCCAAAAGATCATGATCTTATTACATGGGTAAATTCTGAGATGGTCATCGAAGTGTCCATTCCTAATTCAGCAGCCATTTCCCCATCCCAGTGATGGGATTTCCGTTGATTCCAGATGAACCTCAACCCAACATTGAACAATCCTAAATGACACAATGAAGGTCACCAGTTGAATTGAGAAAAGGTGGGCAGGAAAAAGTCAAACCACAGCCTTGCAAATATTGCTAAAATATTACTAAATTAAGCATGTAGAACGTATCAACTGGCTGAAATGACAGTTATATTATGAAAGCTTTTGGCCAAGGAGAGACGGTGCAGGTGAGGCTACCAGCCTCACTTGCATCCATGCTACAAGCAGAGTTCCCTGCTGAGAGTCAGGACAGTCCCAGCCAACAATGATACAAATTGCCCAGGGTATCACAGCTGCAACCACAGCATGCCCGTGCTCTTCTACGATGAGCACGATGTCTACTTGAGGGGCCTCTTTGAAAGCCAGTTCCCACCCCCGTTATCCAGGGAAGCCGTCAGCACAGGGTACAAAAAGGGGGGAGGGGCAATGTAACAGTCATGTCAGGGAAAGCTCCACCCGCTTTTCACCTGCCAAAGAGATGGACCAAAAACTCAAGCTCTTTGCTGCCCTCTTGTGGCTGAGCAGAACTTGACAGCCAAAGCCTGGTTGCCGTATCCTGGTTTGTTGGCTAGGTAAGTTATCTTGGTTACAGCAACCTGCCAAATCCAAAGCCCACGTTCGCACATGAAGTTCTCCACCTGTGGTATCTTCCTGTCCCCCTGCAGATGAGGGAAGAGCCACTGAAATATTCTTCTGGGACTCTGAGGGAGTCACTGCAAACCTTTTTCTTTTGCTATCCAGGTTACAAGAACTGGAACGATACGCCCTGCGAGTCCTTGCATCCTTTCCTCTGCCAGTGCAAATTCTAGTGCAAATGGCTCCTTTCCTTGCTCTGCGGTGAGCAAAGCGCCTGGTGAGTCTGGAGAAGCAATGAAGCTCTGCCAAAACTCTCTGCTCTGCACCCCATCCCTTAAGGCAGGGGGTCCCGAACTTTTCTATGCTGCCCCATTTTAAAACCACTCCTAATACAATGTCTGACTTGCTAGTCTGAATGATAAATCGCTTTGATGAATCTGGGTGGCAGAGAAATGGCTGAGTGGCAAAGACCTGTTGTACCTTTTCAAATGCAGATTGCTCCTTCTTCATCCAGTCAAACTTTGTTTTCTTCTTCAACAATTGAGTGAGAGGCTTAACCTTGAGTGAAAAGTTAGGAGTGAACTTCCTGTAAAAATTAGCAAAGCCCGGGAAACTCTGAAAATC